CGCAAACTTCCGAAGCCCATTTCTCGAGTCGTTTTCCACTGTTAGGACATCCAAGAACCACACAATTACGATGCTCGAATCCCAAAACTAAAATATGACAATATCAGAACCAGAAACAAAAGCGATATGGTTCAAAAGACTTGAAAAGATCGGCTTTGACAACAGACGCATCCCACTGGGAAAACAAACATGGCGGTTTGATGCTCACTTTTTCTGAAAATCCTTCCTAGTATGCACTGCGCGATGACCGGAAGTCCAAAATTCATGATGCATGTATTAAAGGTAACACGGTGATCTAACTATGTCAAGTTTAAGCCGTTAATGCCCCATAAAAATGACTTTCAGAGTGGGTAAACAAACTTAAACTACATTATATTAGTTAATCTTGCGTGTGGAGTGTTCCCTTTAAACTACTTGAACTGTCTGCCATTTTCTACTCCCATCTCGAAGTCAATGTGAACGAGTGAATGCGGTTTTAACCCTGTGAGAGATTTGTTTTTTTGTAAGATTAATCTGTTAATACTGTACAGACGCCTTGTACATTATGGTAAGTGCTTTGGTACGTTTCGGTGCGGGGAGGTTTTCGCCGAGGAGGTGAATGGATTTTTAACTCGTGTGTGTTTTGTGAAAGGTCTTAACGCAGCCTCAGTATCGAGAACCGTCAGTGTTTACACGTCAGTAATGATCACAAGCGCCCCCTACTGGTTTGGAGAAGGTTTACAGTCTAGAGAAACCGTAAACGAACATAAAAATCAACACAGTAAGAGCGAAAAAAAAAAGTACAATGTGGATGAATTGACTTGGGTTTAAAATGTAATTAAAAGTTTGAAAAGTTTTTTATATTAACGAAGAACATTTAGTAAATCTAAAGTAAGTAGTAGTAATAATACTTATATTTAATTATATTATAATTATTACTATTTTAACTAAAACTAATAATAGTAGTATTAGTATTATACAGCTACTGCTACTACTGCTGCTGCTACTACTACTACTACTCCTACGACTCTTACAATTACTACGACTACAGCGACTACTACTAGTACTCCTACTCCTACTACTATGACTACTACGACTACTTCTACTACTACTACTACTACTACTTCTACTATGAAGACTATTGCTACTACTGCTACTACTCCTTTTTCTACTACTACTTTTACTCCTCCCGCTATTACTACTACTACTACTACTACTACTACTACTACTTGTACTTTTCCTCCTCCTCCTACTACTACGACTACTGCTACTACTACAACTACTTTTACTTTACTTTTCCTCCTCCTACTACTACTACTACTACCACTACTGCTACTACGACTACTGCTACTACTACAACTACTTTTACTTTACTTTTCCTCCTCCTACTACTATGACTACTACTACTACTACTGCTACTGCTACTACTACTACTACTACTACTACTACTACTACTACTACTACTACTACTTTTTCTCCTCCTCCTACCATTACTACTACTACTACGACTATTGCTGCTACTAGTTAATTTATATTTAATAAAATAAACTATAAAAATAAAAATAGTAATAATAATAAGTATTACATAAATACAGACTAAATAGTGATGGTCAGCTATATATATATTTTTTTTAAATTGACACGATATCTGATATTTGACCGATGAGTGAAAAAATAACCAGCTTCAGAAAAATATTAGTGCCAAATATCGGTTAAATTTTCAATATCGGACCAATACCGATATCTGTGAAACTCCTCCAATACTGATAATGATAAACTATAATCGATAAAACTTCTCTGTTTATCAATAAGGTTTTACAGGGGTTCAATTCTCCCAAACGAAACTAAACCATCTAAAAAATATTTCCAATCAAAATACAGAATTCTATGTTTTATTTTCTGATATAAAAATAAATTTAAAGTCAATTTTCCACTGGTAAAACTTGGTCTGTACGTATTTGCACTTCATAACAAAAAATGAACAAGTCCGATAGTATTACTTAAAGGTGCATTGTGTAACTTTCCTGGTGAAGGCTCCGACGTCGTCTTGTTGCTATGGAAACGTCACGTCTGCTTTAAATGTTCCACAGTGTGACATTAAACAGCTCTACTTTACGTTTATTTAATTACAGCTGGTTTCATAATCGAAAAATACTTAGAAAAACAGACATTCTGACTGTGAGCGCGGTCGCCTCTCCACAGATCTGACCTGTAACTTTGTTTAGTTTGGTTTCCGTGAAGATAGAAAGCTTTAATGCCAGACTGTGAAACATTCCCTGGCAACGCAATCACCAGAAAAGTTACACAATGCGCCTTTAATAGCCAAATCCACTAGGGGGCAGTCTTATCCGGTCCGATCAAAACAAACAAAATGGTTCAATTTAAGCCATACTTTTCCATATTTTTTTCAGTTTTTTGGGGATTTTTTTTGGTCATTAACACAATTCTCTGTAGCGTCAATATAATCCGAAGCCATTCCCAAAGTGGCTGTAGTATTCCGATAACTGGATAATAAAAACGAGGAGGCTTGCCGGTGGTTGGCGGTTGCGTCGTTGTGAGTTTTGAATCAGGGCTGTGTGTGTGTGTGTGTGTGTGTGTGTGTGTGTGTGTGTGTGTGTGTGTGTGCGCCTGAGTGAAAGCTAAAGATGTATTTATATTTTGAAGATTGTCATGTTTTTAAATGAATAAATGTGGAATACGCTCGTTTGTTTTTGTGGTGTTTTTGTGCACGGGGACATCTGGTGGTCAGGAGGCAGATTGACAAACAATTACGATGTCCGAAAAACTAAAATATGACAATATAAGAACCAGAAACAAAAGCGATATGGTTCAAAAGACTTGAAAAGATCGGTTTTGACAATAGACACATCCCACTGGGAAAACAAACATGGCGGTTTGATGCTCACTTTTTCGGAAAATCCTTCCCAGTATGCACTGCGCGATGACCGGAAGTCCGAGATTCTTGATGCTTCTATTGGATCTGGTGTTTTTCGCCTGCATAATGGGTGCGATGTTGGTCTTAGTTTTCATTTAAGTGGTCTTAAAAAGGTCTTTAAAAAGTCTTAAATTTGGGGTAGTCAAACCTGGGGATACTCTGCTTCAGTGGGTTTGATCAGTCGATCGGCGAGTCCAGAGTCGGGAAATACACCGGAATTTGTCATCGCGTGTTTCCCAACGTCTTCCTGGTTTGTGATGTAACGTGAATAGAGCTTGTTGGCGATTCCAGAGCTGAAATGGTTTGGACCTGGTTTGGACCTGGTTTTGGTTTAGACCTGGTTTAGACCATGGACCTGGTTTGGACCTGGTTTAGACCTGGTTTCCTGGTTTCCTGGACCTGGTTTGACCTGGTTTGGACCTGGTTGACCTGGGACCTGGTTTAGACCTGGTTTGGACCTGGTTTTGACCTAGTTTTGACCTGGTTTCTGGTCCTGGTTTGACCTGGTTTCCTGGTTTCGTCCTGGTTTGGACCTGATTTGGAGAGAGACCTGGTTTCCTGGTTTTCCTGGTTTAGTCCTGGTTTCGACCTGGTTTCGTTGGCAGTTCCAGCGCTGAAATTGATCCAAATGATTCTAGTGAAGGTGTGTGGAGTTTAAAAACACAGTGGAGCACGTTCTGTATTATTACATGACATGGTTTTAGTTACACTTTTTCATAATGTGGATATAAAAACATTACAGATTTAAAGACTTAATGCCAGGTTTGCAGTCACAGAAAAAAAAAGAAAAGAAATAGCAATTGAAGAAGAATAAAATGACTTGAAATCAGAGTCAGAGTCTTGATTTGAGTCGACTGGACGAGTGAACGGGTTTGTCAAAAGTATCGAAAAACCGACAAGTGTTCGAACTAGAAATTCATTTGAAGAATTATTGATACTAAAGTCACATTTCGAGGACAGAAATGAACCTTTCCTGAAGTTTTAGAATGATTTTGAGCTGCAACAGAACAAGTATAAGAGCCCACGGACCTGGTTTGTTTAGTCCTGGTTTTCCTGGTTTAGTACCTGGTTTAGTCCTGGTTTAGTCCTAGTTTCGTCCTGGTTTAGACCTGGTTTAGTCCTGGTTTAGTCCTGGTTTAGTCCTGGTTTAGTCTTGGTTTGGACCTGGTTTAGTCCTGGTTTAGTCCTGGTTTAGTCCTGGTTTGGACCTGGTTTGGAGGACCTGGTTTAGACCTGGTTTAGTCCTGGTTTAGTCCTGGTTTCGTCCTGGTTTAGTCCTGGTTTTAGTCTTGGTTTAGTCCTGGTTTCGTTCCTGGTTTAGTCCTGGTTTTAGTCCTGGTTTAGTCCTGGTTTAGTCCTGGTTTAGTCTTGGTTTGGACCTGGTTTAGTCCTGGTTTAGTCCTGGTTTAGTCTTGGTTTGGACCTGGTTTGGACCTGGTTTAGACCTGGTTTAGACCTGATTTAGACCTGGTTTGGACCTGGTTTCGTCCTGGTTTGGACCTGGTTTAGACCTGGTTTAGACCTGGTTTCGTCCTGGTTTTCGTCCTGGTTTGGACCTGGTTTAGTCCTGGTTTAGGCCTGGTTTAGTCCTGGTTTAGTCCTGGTTTAGACCTGGTTTGGACCTGGTTTAGTCCTGGTTTAGTCCTAGTTTTGTCCTGATTTAGACCCGGTTTAGTCCTGGTTTTGTCCTGATTTAGACCCGGTTTAGTCCTGGTTTAGACCTGGTTTGATTTAGACCCTGGTTTGGACCTGGTTTAGTCCTGGTTTAGACCTGGTTTAGACCTGGTTTAGACCTGGTTTTCGTCCTGGTTTGGACCTGGTTTAGACCTGGTTTAGACCTGGTTTTCCTGGTTTAGACCTGGTTTGGTTTAGTCCTGGTTTAGTCCTAGTTTTGTCCTGATTTAGACCCTGGTTTAGAGTCCAGTCCTGGTTTAGTCCTGGTTTAGTCCTGGTTTAGTTTAGTCCTGGTTTAGACCTGGTTTAGTTTACCTGGTTTAGACCTGGTTTAGACCTGGTTTAGACCTGGACCACTGAGGGATCACACAGATATAAAACCACATGGAATATAAAAGAAAAAAAACTATGATTAAATATTGAAATTCATATTTTATTGAGTTAAAAAAAGAGTGTTTTTTATTATTATCACTGTTGTATCGGAATCAGTTTTAAAAATCAAGTCTATTCTTTAATATCCCTGGAGGATTTTTTTCAGGTTTTTCAGCAGTTTACATATTTTATTCCACTTTTTATTGGCAGAAAATTAAACTAGACAAACAAAAAATGAGGCAGCATAATTAATAAACGCATTAAGACTTTTAGTTTTGTTAAAATATTTAGGTCCAAAACATTCTGACCACCTTCTTAATACTGAAGTCTGTGGTAATAGCAGTTTATAATGTTGTTCTACGGCTCAAACTGTTTAATTTTTTTTTTCTTTTTAATACAGTTTTAGGGTGACTAGATTTTCAAAATAAAAAACTGGGACATCCTCGGTTTGTGGTGTTTAATAAAATTGTGAAACGAGTGCGTAATTAAATTTTGAGTGCACTACTTTTTCACTTGCTGGACATTTGGACATGACTAAAAATGACGTGACCAGATTTTCAAAATAAAAAAAACGTGACACTCTTGTTTTGGGTTGGTTGGTAATAATAAAAATTGTGAATTGAGTGCATAATAAATGAAAGTTGTTACACATTCGGCACTAACTTGAGTCAGTATAGTCACATTTTCTTTGTGTTTTGGTCAATTTTAAGCAGATTTTCTGTATTTTACCTAAACGAATGACAATTTATTACTCTTTTTATTGTTGTCAGGGATCAAATTGGTCAAAAATATTGATATTTACAGACATTTCTTGGGAGGAAGAGCCAGTTTTTTCTGTTGATTAAATTAATCTGTTGATTAAATGTTGAACCTGATCATTTCTTTGAGTTATTAGACCTGAGACCAGAATTTTAAAATAAAAAACTGGGACATCCCTGTTTTTTGTTTTTTTTTAGTGGTTAGTAATAATAAAACTGAAACGGAAGCGTAAATAAGGAAAATTGTTCTGTAGAGACCATTCATGACTAAAATTTGAATCAGTATAGTCACATTTTCTTTTTTTGGTCATTTTTAAGCAGCATTTCTGTATTTTACCCAAACAAATTTAAATTTATGCCTCTTTTTATTGTTGTCAGGGATCAAATATGTCAAAAATAGGGACATTTAGGGACATTTCTTGGGGGAAGGAGACAATTTTTTCTATTAATAACACTGGACTTTGCCATGAAATATCTAAAATGTTGAACCTGATTATTTCTTTGAGTTTATAGAGCCAAGAACAGAATTTAAAAAAAAAAAAAACTGGGACATCCCTGTTTTTTTTTTTTTGGTGGTTAGTAATAATAAAACTGAAACAGAAGCGTAAATAAGGAAAACTGTTCTGCAGAGGCCATTCATGACTAAAATATAAGTCGGCATAGTCACATTTTCTTCAGATTTTATGTATTTTACTGAAACAAGTGATAATTTATGCCTCTTTTTACTATTGTCGGGGATCAAATTGGTCAAAAATAAGGACATTTCTTGTATAAAACTGGACAAATCATTCGCTTTGTTTAAATCTTTTGGGACAGGGGACACTGGACTCAAAACTGGGACTGTCCCGGGTAAATACGGACGTCCGGTCACCTTAAATTAGACCCGAGACTTTGCTGTATTACAACATAAATCTGCATTTGAACCATTTAAATTTTAGCTGCCCCCATCTGTGTTAAATATTACTGACCTAGAGAATGTTGTGATGTGATCTGAAACCCAGCGATAAAAGAAACCAGAACATTCAGAGACAAAAACAGATAATCCAGCCCGTTTGCGTGAAGTCCATTTAAACAAAAAACGTGTATGATTATTATTAGTCCATAAACACTCGAGTGCCAGTCTGGTCTGATCATTATTTATGACAGAAATCAAGTTTTATCAGAGTTTAGTGAACGTTTTTTGTTTTTTTTTTACACCCAGACGCCAGAGTCACGTGACCTGAACGTAGTGAGCTGCGTGTCCGAGCGTCTCTGTGAGCGAGTGCACTGCAGGGGGCGCCGAAGAGTGCAGGACGATGTAGTGAATGAGGAGTTGGCGGCGCCTGCGTGAAGTCGGGCCCCCTGCATCAAACGCAAACCGACACAAAAGCTATTTCAGTGTCGTTTGTGCTGCAGAAAGTTTGGTTTGTGCTGCTTTAGTTTTTGAGATGTTAACGATTCTTTTATACAGGCGAGTTTCATTGTTGACAAAAGCGCGCGTTGCATGCTGGGAATTATTTTGGTCGGCGGCAAGAAACACTAATTCAACATGACGGACGGAGCGAGAAAGCACGTAAAGGGTATTGATCCTGGTTATTTATCCAATCTAACGGCAGAGGACCCAAGACCATTTGACCAGAAATTGGTCATAAGCATCGATGGACGACAAATCACCCTTTTCAACCCCGACAAAAGGTGGACCAAACCAAATCTCTGGTCAGAATCGCCAACTACCTGGACAAATATTCACTTGGGCGATATCCACAATGACTTGGTGGAAACTCCTGGGCCATTCACAGCAGAAAAGATGAAAACCTCCAAGAGTCTCGATGTGTTGTTGAACTTGTTGGAGTCCACGGTTTGTTAGGATCTTCTACGTTTGCTCTGCGGATGTTTGAAAGTCGTTTAATTCACCGTTAGTGGTTCTTTTCACTCAGAATACGAAAAAGACATTTTCCTTCTTCCGTGCTTCTATTTGTGCATCCGATAATGCAGCAGGAATTTACCATTATCGGGGATAAATACGTGAGGTTACACACTGTGTTTGACGCTACCGTGTTTCTTGCCTCCGACCAGAATATTTCCCAGCATGCAACGCGGGCTTTTAATAACAATGACGTCAGCTGAAACTCGCCTATGGGTCAAATTGGGTCAGAACTAGAGAACATAAACGATCTGAGGCTGTGGAAAAGTCTGTTCAGTCTTCAGTAACTTGCTTTTGATTCATATTTTATATAATAACACAGACTTTTCCACACCCTCAGATCGTTTATCTTCTTTAGTTTTGCAGTTTTGCTCAAGCCGCTGCCGTATATATTTTCCGCAAAAATAATAATTAATCATTTTAGAAATACACAAGCTTCCCACTCTTTTTCACTGACAAAGTTTCAAATCTTTTCCATGACTTTTTCGTGACCTAAAGTGACTTTTCCATGACTTTTTCGTGACCTAAAGTGACTTTTCCATGACTTTTTCGTGACCTAAAGTGACTTTTCCATGACTTTACAGCACCTACATTTGTATAACTGATCAGACTTTTAGTGCTAAATATGAAACGTTAACTCTTTCCACTCACTTTATGGTTTGGTTTTAAAGTTTTTTAACATTCAAAATCCTGTCAGTGCATTTATTGTCGTCTCTTTTAAACAAAAGACGCAGACGTTCAGAAATAATCATAATAGTCTAATGAGAACTTAACAGAACACTGTAGTCGCGTGAAAGAGATACTAAAATTCCATGACTTTCCCAAAACTTTCATTGAATTTACAAAATTCCATGGCCTGGAAAGTGACATTTTCAATATCCATGACTTTTCCAGGATTTCCATGACCGTGGGAAACCTGAATAAACTCGCACAAATCAAAAGCAAGTCACAGCGCAAAACAGCACAAAGGAAATACAAACGTTTCATGTAATTTTCTGCCTGTTTTGAGGCTGTTTAACATTTTGAGGGGCTGGATGATTCATCAGACGGTTTCACTTTGTGGAAACCGTCTGACCTCGCAGCATTAGGATTCGTTCGCTCGACAGTAGGTGGGTACTTTTTTTAATTTAACCAATCGCTGTTGTTTGGTCGTGACAGATGTAATGCTCCAAATCCCGTAGGAAGAAGGACAATAACTCTTGATAAAATTTACCAAATATTCTCTTTGTTCCGGCTTTAAATCCTCGATCTCGGGAATCGTTGCCAACACAGAATGTACGACTCTTTGCTGATTGGCTGGTGCCCGAACTCGCACTTCCGGGGTTTTTGCGAACCGTCTAGTGTATTCTGATTCCTGATCTAGTCGATGGAGAGAAATGAAATGAGCCTGGCTACTGGACGACGTCATCGGCCGAAAATAAAACTTTTGCAGCACGAACGAAGCACAAACAACCAAACATCACCATTTTGAGCGTTTTAGAGCATTTTTAAATTTTCTGGAGTCTGGTTGACCCTAATTTGACCTATAAAAGAATCGTTAATATTCCCAAAACTAAAGCAGCACAAATGAAACTTTTGGAGCACGAACGAAGCACAAACGAATAACACAATTTTGGGCAGTTTTAGAGCATTTTGAAGTTTCCTGGGGGCAGACTGACTCCAGTTTGACCTATAAAAGAATCGTTAATATCTCCAAAACTAAAGCAGCAGCACAAACGAAACACAAACGATGGACAGTTTTTGTGTAGTTGTGCGTTTGATGAGGGGTGAACTCCACAGAAGTGTTAGCGTCTCGGGGGTTGGACATTCGGACACAGCCAGAGTTTGTAGCGTGAATATTGTGGACTGTAGTTTTTTTTTTTTCAGTGTTTTGTTCGTGCGGCGTCTCGATCACTTGTGCGGCTCGGACTCGGACTCCCTCCTGCTCCTCGGCGTCGCGGCCATCTTGTCCCGGAGCAGCGCCTTCCTCTCGAAGAAGTCCACGAGCGGCGTCTCCGTGAGCAGAGAGGCCAGCACCTGCTCGAAACTGATGGACCAGTCGGCGTCGGCGGTTCGTCCCTGAGGCGAGGGGGGGCTGGGGGCGGGCTCCGTGGGGCTGGGGGCGGAGTCTGTGGGTTTGGGGGCGTGGTTCGTGAAGCGTTTGGCCACTTCCCCGATGCGCAGCAGCAGAGAGGCGACGGTGGCGATGGAGTGGTACAGCTGCTGCTCGCACGGGTCCTCAGAGAACATGCAGTACAGAGTCTTACACAGCTCGATGAACTGCTCCTGAAATACACACAAGTACTGTTACTACTGCAGTATTATAGTCACTGTTGGCCAAGTTACTTCAAAACTGTAATGTGTTATTTATGACTTGTTACTGTCATTTCAAAGTAATTTGTTATATTACACGACTATTGCGGAACTTTTAAGTTACTCTCACCAAAATAACTGCGAAGATGCTGAACTTTTGCGCCTTACTGAACCAGGACTGGACTGACTGAACCAGGACTGAACCAGGACTGAACCAGGACTGAACCAGGACTAAAACCAGGACTGAACCAGGACTGAGGACTGAACCAGGACTGAACCAGGACTGAACCAGGACTAAACCAGGACTGAACCAGGACTGAAACCAGGACTGAACCAGGACTAAAAAAGAGCTGAACCAGGACTGAACCAGGACTAAACCAGGACTAAACCAGGAGGACTAAACCAGGACTAAACCAGGTCTGAACCAGGTCTAAACCAGGACTAAACTAGGTCTAAACCAGGACTAAACAGGAACCAGGACTAAACCAGGTCTAAAACCAGGTCTAAACTAGGACTAAACCAGAACTGAACCAGGACTAAACCAGGTTTAAATCAAAACTAAACCAGGCCTAAACCAGGTCTAATCTTGGACTAGAACTTGGAAGCGCCTTGAAGACAGTAATTGTACTTGTGTGTATTTCAGGAGCAGTTCATGGAGCTGTGTAAGACCCTGTACTGTAGTAGTAATAGTACTTGTGTGTATTATAGTACTACTACTACTACAGCTTCTGATCCAAGAACATGCAGTACAGGGTCTTACACAGCTCCATGAACTGCTCCTGAAACACAAGTACTACTACTACTACTACTACAGGTGTATGCAGTACTGTACAGGTGTATGCAGTACTGTACAGTATGTATGTACAGTGTATGCAGTACTGTATGCAGTACTGTACACATGTATGTATGCAGTACTGTATGCAGTATGTATGCAGTACTGTACAGTACTGTACGTATGCAGTACTGTATGCAGTACTGTACTGTATGCAGTACTGTACAGGCGTATGCAGTACTGTACAGTACTGTACTGCAGTATGCAGTACTGTATGCAGTACTGTACGTATGCAGTACTGTACAGGTGTATGTACAGTACTGTACTGCATGCAGTATGTATGCAGTACTGTACAGTATGTATGCAGTACTGTATGCAGTACTGTACATGCAGTACTGTACAGATGTATGCAGTACTGTACAGATGTATGCAGTACTGTACAGGTGTATGCAGTACTGTACAGATGTATGCAGTACTGTACAGGTGCAGTACCTGGTTCATTCGGGGCAGGTCTTTGATGCTCTCTCTCCTCGGCTCGTGCTCTTTGGCCCACTGTCTCAGGTAGAATCGGTAATCCTTCACTTTCTCCTCTGAAACACACACGTCAGGGTCAGACCGGGGTCATACAGAGGTCATACAGAGGTCATACAGAGGTCTCAAAATGTCCGCTGTGATATTATAAAGTCATTTTTAAATCAAACTTCACAGTGCCGCTGAAGTGTGTGCTGGTGTTTACCTTTCTTCTCTGAGTTTTCTCCTTCAGTTTTCCCTTCTGCTGCAAAAACACACAGACAATGTACTGGCTTAAAAAAGGCAAAAACATTACACACAAATAAGAGCCAGTGCACAACGAGATGCGGAAAAAGAGCCACAATATTTTCTGAGCGTCGCTCGTAAACCCACCTCCTCCTTAAAGAACACACATTCTGCTTAAGTATAGTTTTAATCTTTAACTTTTGACATTTTAAAATCATAATATTGATCTTAAAATGACAACAAATCCACTGACTTCTACTTTTTTTTTCTCATTTGTACCAAAATGAGTACGCAACGCTGCCAAATCCTAAAAGCGTATCACCGAATAAGAAAATAAAACTAGAGAACGAACCATGTAGAGCGTTGATCTTGAAAATATGTGGTTAAAGTTTAATCAAACATGAACGGATCATTCTAAAAAAAAAAAAAAAAAAAACACTTGAGTTGGAGAAAACTTAAAATGAACAGACCTGAAATCCCATCCTCTTTCCTGTCCTCAGTGGAAGGAAAGGAAGCATCTAAAGAAGAAGAAAGAGAAAGAGAAAGAGAAAGAAAAGAGCGGGATGGAGAGGGAAGGACATAAGGAAAGGTGAAAAAGGAAGGAGGGACAGAGAGAAATGGAAAGTGGGAGAACAGAAAGAAGGGATGAGAGAAGGGAGAAGGGTGAGGAAGGAGTTGTAAGTATCGGACACAGACACAGAGAAACAGAGAACACGAGCTGTACCTTTGTTATTGTCGGGGGTGAAAAACTGAGCGGCCTCTTGAGCTGACTCCGCCTCCTCAGGGGTGAAGGCTGAGGGAGGGAGAAAGAGAAAGAAAGAGAGAGATACTTTATTTTAAGTTTTACTGCAGAAACATTTCCACGGCTCTTCTCAGTCTCTCTGTGTCTCGGTCAAAGGTCTCGGGTCAGTTTAACGGGAGGGTCAGGGTCAGGGAGAGTCAGCAGATCTGTGTCAGGGCAGATCGAGGAGAGGAAGAGCCAAAAGTGTCCTTCCTCTGAGTCCTGCGGCCTCCAGGGGGCGCCAGGTGAATACAACAGGTTCATTCCCTTAGAAGTATTTCCTGGTCTTCTGCCACATTTGCTGCCACTTACTATGGTTTTGCGTATGACGTGGCAGTCACGTGATTTAATGTTTTGGCTGCCATACTGGAGGTCAAGACTAGGGTTATTCAGTTTATTTCAATATAATCATGGCGACTTTAAACAGCGCAAACGAAATCGCCAGCTCGTTAGATCAAAGGTATAAAGCTAAAGTCGTCCTCTTGGGTTGTGGAATAGATCCCGATCTAATTCTGATGGAGCGCTTTGAAAGTCTAATCAACGCTCGCTCTGTGCCCGCTCGCTCTGTGCCCGACCTTTAGTATCCAGATATTTACAACTACTTCATTCATTTGACATCGTCCTACACCAACCAAGAACTGAAAAGCTACACGGTGCTAGAAGCATATCAATATTTTGTAGTGGGATGCGTGAGATCATTTTGGATCACCAAACATCACATCTGTTCCCGATAACAGCCGGAGGAAGTAGAATGGGGGACAAAATCAGCGTGGGAGCGTCACCAGGACGGTGGAAATAGCGGGCCAGGTGGGGGGATTCTGTGCCGGTACACTTCTTCTTTTGTGTGGAGCTGGTCCCTCACCGGAAATGAAATGTTGACTGCACAGACGATTGTACTCTGTGGGCTCCATCCCTCAAATGGTCAAAACCATTGTTATTCTGTTCAAATTTTATCACACACAAATACTACATGTTGGTCCAGATGGAAAGTTTGACCTCCAATATGGCGGCATCAACACCAGGTCACGTGGTTTTGTGACGTAGATACAAAACCTTAATTCAAATTCAGATTCAGAAAACTTTATTGATCCCAGCTCCTTACATAACCTCTTGTACGGTCTCCAAGGACACAAAGAGGGAAGGAGAGAAGAATTTAGGAAGGAAAAGAAGAATACTGTTGCACCCACAATCATCGAAAAGACAAAACTGTCCATTAAAAAGGTCTACACAAACATTCTGTCTGTCTCATGTGGCTTCATATGTTCTTGCATAATTCCTGACTCCAAACACAGCGGTGGTGCTTTTGGGGCAAACTCACATTAATATAACCCAATAAAAAATAAACCCTCTTTACCTGGAGGCAGGTGCAGTTTGTAGAGCAGCTTCAGTTTCTCTGTCAGGTCTCCATGATACATCACAGCTGGAAAGTGAAAACAAAATTGAGATTAAACCCAGAGCTAAACCTGGACTAGATCAGAAATAGACCAGGACTAGACCGGGACTAGATCAGGACTAGACCAGGACTATGCTGGACTAAATCAGGACAGGAATAGAACCAAACCAAATCAACATTTATATTTACATTTAATCTACAAACCAGGACCAAACCAGGTTAATTTGATAATCTTCAATGTACAAACTTCAGGTCTAAACCAAGGCTAAATGAGGTCTGAATGAGGTCTAAACCAAGTCTCAACCAGGTCTAAACCATGACTAAACCAGAGTCTAAACCAGGTCTAAACCAGGTCTAAACCAGGTCTAAACCAGGTCTAAACCAGGTCTAAAAAGGTTTCTCCTTTTGTGATTTCGAAAAGTGATTTTGAGTTGATCTGATAAAAACACACTGAACCCGGGTCTAATCCGGGTCTAATCCGGGTCTAGACTGGGTCAGAGCTGGTCTTACTGAGGGGGTAGATGAACTCCTTGAAGTTGACGAGTCCGTCCTGGTTCTGGTCCTGGAGTCTGAAGAGGCGGGCGGCCATGTTGTGGGTGTGGCTGTTCCATCTCCATGGCGACAGCTCGGTGATCAGCTGACTAAAGTGGGCGTGGTCAACACGGTGCTGCTCCAAATACGGCACCACCAGGTCCGGACCAGCAGAACCTGAACTGGGACCGGGACCCCAGTAACAGCTGCTCATGTGCTTGGACTGGAGACAAGGACAAGAAACAAGAAACTTTAGTACTACTACAATACTACAAAAGTACAACAAATACTTTTATTATGTATTTGTACTACAGGGACATGGTAGAATATCCCCTCTTTAAGTGTGTTTGTTTTGTTTGTTTTTATTTAGATCCCCATTAGCTAATGAAAAACAGCAACTATTCTTCCTGGGGTCTGCGTAAGGCTATAAATGCATTTTTTTTTTTTTTCCATACAGAAAAACAGACAGGAACGACACATTCAAACCAACAATAAAACCAAAACAGAACAAAAAACAAAACAGAACAAAACAAAACAAAACAAAAAAAAATAGAACAAAAACACAAACAGAAAACAAAAACACAACAAAAAAAACAGAACAAACACAAAAGCAGAACAAAAAAAAAAACT